CTAAATTCCAAAAGCTCTCATTACATATCAGGAAGCAGGCCTGGAAGACTCTGACCATAGATCTTTGTTGCAAGCTATAGGTAGTGAGAACTTAGGACCTAAAGGATGTGTCCATCAGAGAGGAACTTTGTGGAGGGAGAGAGGGGAGAAGAAGAAAGAAGAGCCAACCACATGTCTCCTGGCTCAAATCAATCCCTAGATGAAAACCCTAGAGGTGGGTGGGTATTAGAAATGACCAGATCAGTTTCTCACCTCCCCAGGCACACGCTACAAAAAGTGTGAGGTCAGACATGGGCAGGCCAAGTGGCAAAGTAGAAAAGGCTGAGACAGAAGGCTGGTGGGAACACCCCCCATCACTTCCCTTACCTTTACATGTCCTCCACAGTTGAGAAGTCACCAAATCCATCTACTACCCAATTTAAAGGCCTGGATAGTCAAAACACAGAATTCTGGATTTATATCTACACATTGACAATTGGTCTCTACGAGATGCAAATATTTATTCAGAGGCGAGTTGTGTGACAAGGTTATTTGGAGTGCTTACTTGTGGTAATAACTTGAGCCATCAAACTACCTTTCCTTCCTTCAAAATCATCCCATATCCAGAAAACCAAGAACAAAGAACAATAGAATACTGATGGTTAGACTTAATGGAGACTTTGCCAGGGTTAAAGAAACATGATTGAATAAACCAGAAGAACCAGTTTGAACTACTTCACTGCCAGGGGAGAGGGAGGAAGAAAATATAAAAGTAAAATGAAAGAATGAAAGGATCTCTAGGGAGAGTTCTAGGAAAAGAGCATTTGTGGAACAATAGGGCCTAATGCCTTGTCCTTTTCCCCTTCTCTCCTCTTTGAGAATAATGACAGTGAGGCACTTGACCATCCCCCTTTTTTTACTGCTGTTCCATAAGCAGCAGACAGATATGTCCAGTGTGCTGGCACTGGGATAAGGACAGCAGAGTCGAAGTAGCATGGCATTGTAGGAGAAGGAAAGGACCATGCCCATTCACAAAAGCAACAAAAACAGACAAATATGTAGGAATAAACACCAAAAGAAATGTGAAAGATCGTTATAAAGATAACTTCACTAAGTGATAGAGGATCTAAATAAATGTGTCTAGATGGGAAAATTGTAAAGATGCCAATCCTTGCCAATTAATCCATAAACTTAGTGCAATTTCAATCAAAACATAAAAAATGGATTCAGCAATAAATGATTAGTATAATTAATTATAAATTTAGAGAAAATTAAGGTATTAAGTAAACCTCAAACCAAATGTACACAAACGTACACACACGTGTGCCCTCACGCTACTAGTAGGTTAACAAAGGACCTAACTCTAAAAAGAAAACTGTATTTGTATTAGAAGGAAATAAAGGCAAATGTTTTTAATAACTTGGATGTAAAAGGCTGTCCTTATAAATGAAAACATAAAAGTCCATTAGAAAAACATTGACAAAAGCAGAAAACTTAAAATTCCTGATTGATCAAATATACTACCAAAAAAAAAAATCAAGGAAAGAGTTGAGAGAAATTTTTGCAACGTAAGAGTTCAACATGTGACAATAGCCATGTTTCAAGTGTGGCTAAAGCCGACCTTACGGACTGTGCAGAAGGAAACATACAAATGAACTTCCTTTTGTCTCATACAAATAAAGTAATTTTGGTGAGGGAAGAAACCAGTCCCCAGTTTCCCACGGTGCTAAGACAGCAGGGTGAGGGTTCCTAAGTTCCCTGTGGGCCAGAATATGTCCTGAGAAGGTACCCAGGGCAGCAGCCTGCCCAAAAGCACCAACACACCCCTCCCTGCCAACACACACACCACCTGCCACGGGCCACCCAGGGAGCTGAGGGTCCCCGAGTCGGTTAGAGGTTCCTGGGAGAAAGGGGCGTGCTTCAGGAAGGACTTAACACCAGGAAGCCACAGAGGGGAGGCTCAGCTGGGCGCACGTCTGTGCCTCTCTGCAGCAGTAGAATGGAGAGATAAATGGTGCTGCGTTAAATGGTTATCCACTTGGGAAAAGAAGGAAAGTTGGGTCACACCTCCCACCTGTCACAAAGGCAAATTCCAAGTAGATCCGTGAGACAACCCTTAAAGTGGAAAGGTATGAAAGAATTAGGAAACCATATAAGAGACTCTTTGTAATCGGGGAGTGCGGAAGGACATCCTAAGCCACACACGAAAACGAGAGGCAATTCGGAAAAATGAGCCTTCAGGGTGAACAGGAGGCCATGAGCAAAGAGAGGAGGGAAGTGACGGAGTGTGAGGTGATGCATGCAGCATGTGTAGCCGACAAGGGATTGGCCGATCCTCCGCAGGACTGTGCTGGACTGTGGTGCAGCACCCCTCTGCATCTTAGACCAACCGGTGGTCCCCAGAAGGGAGGCGGTAGCCAGTCCTCGCCACAGCTGTCCAACCCTTAGCCAAAAGGTGCTATGGTGGCACAGCATGGAGAGTCACTTGTTGAGGGCTGTGCCTGTCCGTGGGTGGCACTTCAAAGTGAGGGGATTGTGGTTGAAACTGCTTTGAGAGGGACACACAGGGCCCTGATGAGGATGCAGAGTTGGAGACTGGATGTATCAGCTGGGAAGCTGGATGTCTGCAACCTTGCCTGCACTTGTGGGCTGGAGGAGTCAAATCGCAAAATCCCCAGGAGAGGCAGCAGGCTGGGAGGGCACCGGGAGTTAGTGTGGAAGCCAGTACCTTCAGGCACCACATGTAGACGTAATCACGAGACAACAAGGAGAAAGGCCCGGGCCTTTCTGGAGCTGGAAGGCAGTCTGCGGCAGCAGCTCCAGATTGACACAAGAGACAGTTTAGGCTGGGGCGGCCCCATCAAGGCAGGGCACTCTGTGTGTCAAGCTCAAGCTTGATGACCTTGTCTAATGTTTGCCACGGGGAAACCCAGAAAGACTCTCCCTTAGTTGCAGCAGTCAGGGAAGTAAGTTCTGTGCTCGGTGGTCTCGTGCTGTTTCATTTTGAATCAAGTATGGGAGGGGCATGGTGCTGATAGCCTCTGAATGTCTTAATCAGGCCCTGACTGGCAGGCATGCCTCTGACTCCCCTCACGTCCCTAGGCAGAATCCATTGGGAACTGGGCTCCCGCCCTGACACAGCAACCAGCCAAGGGATGAAGGGCAGACCAGAGGGCTGCACTTCCAGACACAGGGAGTGTTTTGGGGAGGGCAGTGCCAGCAAATGGAGAGGAGGCTCTTGACTTGGCCCAAGACCACACCGTGGAGACACCTCAGTGCAGGCAGGCTTCCCTGTGAGAGTTGCTCAGGAGATGGGCGGAAAGCCCCCAGGCCCACCCTGCGTTGGGAGTCGGCTGGGTGGACAACTGCCTGTGGCAGGACTCAAGTGGGATTCAGCAGAGTGCAGAGGAGGAAAGTGCGTGTTAATTTGGGACCCTGAGCCAGGAGAAAAGAGAAAATGCTCTGTCTTTGTGCTGAGATGAAAGAGGCTGAGCAATAAGGTGTCGCTCAAGACAGCATTGGCCAAGCAGGCTCCGCTGGGACAAGTGGATGCGGGAGCTGTCTGGAGGGCAATCCTACTTGGGAAAGAGATTCCTCAGCTCACCTGAGGCTGGCTTGGGAGAAAGGGGTGGTCACATTAGCAACTCAGGAAACAAGGCAGGGCCCCAGGGCCAGCAGAGGAAGCCCCAGCGGGGTGTCTCAGTAATCACAAGTCACCTGCTGGCCATCTAAGGCGCCAGGGCCTGGGAAGAGGCAGTGTCCCTGTTCCAGGCTGGAGGATTGCCCAGAGTTGGTCCTGGGACCTAGCAGGCACTTATGCCCGCTGGTCAGCCCAAAGAGTGGGGCGGATGGGCACAAGCAGGACAGTTGTAACCCACCTGCAACCCAAACTCTGGGAGAAGGAAGAAAAAAAGTAAAAGAAAACTACGCTCTGTATGGAAGAGCAGCCAGAAGGCAGAGCACTTAGAGAGCGCTGATGCCCAGGGTACAGTGACCCAGAGCAGCATTCCAGGGAGACCAGGAGGGGGCACTGGGTGCAGAAGCAACACTGCCCAAGGGAGGCTTCTTGTTGACTGTGGTGGCCAGGGCTTTGAGGAAGAGGACCATTGCTTGACACATCAAAAACATGCAGGGAACCTGACTTTGGTGATGCAGGGGCTAAGGCTTGCTGGGAGCGGTCTGGAAATGTTGGGGAGGGGGTGGCAGAAGGAGTTGTCCAGATCCATGGAGTGGTTCAGTGCGCAGGGGTTCTCCCTTTCCTTCAAGGGGTGTCAGTATCTTGAATGGAGGGGATGGAGATGTCTCCCGATGGATCAAGGCCAGGCCAAGCCAAGCACCCTCAGCATCTGCCCTACCACCTCCACAGGGAGTCCATGGAGGGCTCCACTCTCCCCTTCCTGGATCCCACCAAAGGTACCGGGGATCGAGCAGAGAGGACGTTCCCCCAGAGGAAGCAAGGGCCCACCCTTCTCACTCTGCCAGGAATTGGGGCTTGGGATCCCAAGGAAGGGAGGGGGTTTGGAAGTAGGCTTAACAGCTGCTTTGTAGGAGACAGAGAACTACACACTGTAGGCACTCAGCAAGAGGCAACCGTTATTGCTGTAATTGTGCACTGAATGCGCAGGGGTGGGCCACCGAGTGGTCCCCAAGGACGCGAACAAACCCCAAGGATGCTGACGTGCCTCTCTAGGCCAGCAGCCAAGGAAAGACACCTTCACTGAGGGATTTCTCTGTATCTGGCACCAGGCACTGTGCTGCCCACTTCACAGGTGTCGTCTTAGTCTTCCCAACATTCCATCTTAATTCCACCAAAAGCCCCTCCACTCCCCCACCCCCGCCCCCAGCCCCTCATTGAGGCTTATCCTGAACACTGCAGCCCACCTCTCCTCCTGCCTCCTGTGAGCACTGTTAAGTGTGCAATTGTCAGGGAGCAAAAGCCCCAGTTAGTTAGCACTGATTGTGTATTTTTGTCTTTCTCTCCATGCAGACCATAAACTCAAGGACGAGTACCGCGGCTCGTTTTTGCCGATCAAAGCATACAACTTTATTGATGATACATAGAAATGCAGGCTTGGGTGGATGAGGTTAAGTCAGTAGAGCACATAGAAGGGGCGTGTACTTCTTGATGAACAGGTTCATTATCCATCAGGTCACATAGAAGAAAGAGTAAATGAAAAAGAATTCAACCTAAGCAGCAACAAATTGCATTTTCAGCACAAGCTCCGATATGTGTCTGGTCTCCACAAAACGGTCCAGCTTACACAGGGAGACCACCACAGGCAAGGTATCCCTTGTGACGCTATAACATGATGTTTTTTATCCACAGCTGGCAGCTGAAATCATCCCTTCGCCGCAGGAAGAAGGCTGCAAGGGAGTAATTTACAATGTGCATTGCCTGCAGACTGCAGAACCAAGAAGTTACTCAGAGCTCCGTGGGAGCCCTGCCTGCCTGGCCACTAAGAGTGTGGTCCTCTGTTTAGCAAGTGTTAACTTTTACCCCATGAGGTGCTGATTGGCTAAGGCTGGATCTTCAGTAGCACCCACTGCAATTCTTTGACCGAGAACACAAGGGTGCGTTCGCCCAACGGGTTTGGGGTGGATTCAGTCCCATTCTGTTCCAGATAGCCATTTAAGAGGCCAGGGTGTCTGGGAGAACCTGTCTGTTTCCGTTCCTGATAAAGAGGGACGTGAATGAGAGCAGCATTTGGGCACCCAGCAATTCCCCTGCCAAGACTGGCTTTTCAGACAAACCCATCAACGGTTTCAAAACCTGAACCTCAGCACATCCACTTCCCTCTGATATCAAAGGAAACTTCAAGTCTGAAACGGACTTGGCAAGCATGTTATTAATAACTGTCATGCTTATTAACAAGTTTAATCCAGCCTGCTGCAGAAATGAGTTGCAGCAATGTGACACAGTCTCTCGACACACTTCATTGATGTACATCTTAATTTGGCCCTGATTTTCGACACTCGCGTTCAAGTTATTCAGGGCACATAATGCCTTCTCCTTAACAGCGGGGTCCGGAGTGCGGATCAGGTTTCCAACAATGGAGAGGCTGGCCAAAGGACTATTGATATCGTGGCTAAATGAAAAGCCAGCTTCCTTGGGCTGAGCAAACAACATTTTTCCCTGAATGAAAGGACACTTGGAGAGGTCAAGAACACAACTGAAATTTTTAATTTCTTATGCATCACAAAAAAATGCCATTGCCATTATGGAAATGGTAATTCTTCTTTATTGGGATATGTCCTCTTTGGAAGACCCTTGGTCCTTACTGCCCATGGTTCATGTCAGCCTCATCTCCAGGACTTTGCTTCTCCTGGATCTTTGACTACAGACCAGAGCCCTTACCGGTTCTCCTCTTTCTGAAGCTCCCTACTCTTCTTGTCTTTTCTTACTGTGGTTGCACCCTCCTCTGATTAGTGGATAAACACTGTGGCAACTTCTAGCCCTGACCTTCAGACCTGCTTTCACTAAATCACCAGTTTGAGCACATTCCACATCTATGACAATTCACAGAAGGTTCTCACTCTTGAAAAAGCCATCTAGTTGTGGTGTTCTAGGGAGGAGATTGTTGGAAGTTATTTTCCTGGACACAAGATGCCCCAACTGCCATCCAACATGGACCTAGGGGCAATGAAAATACATAGAGCTTTGATATTAGTCTCTGCAGATAAACATGTCAGCAGTCAGGATACAAGAATATCAGTATTTCTCTTTCCTGATTTAGGGCCTTAAATTTTAAATGTTTCTTCCTTGGCATTTACCTCCCTTTGAGCTCATTCCTGCTGTTTCCTCAGAGGTACAGCATTTGACCTTTCCAGCACCAAAGTAAGAAAGGAGGAGAACAAAGGTTGGGGGAGGGAGAAGCTGAATTGCCTCTAGACCCTGTATTCTGACTCCTACATCCCTACCCTTACCCCTTATCTTCAGGATATCACACTGTGTGGAGCAATTTCCTTCCTCCCTTGCCTAGAGTTAGGTCTACAGCTAGACAGATAAGAGACAATAGAGATTGTTAGATGTACAGGCACGTAGATGCCCTCTCTCCAGAGTAAAAAATCTAGCTTTCAATTGTCTCCCATTTAGGTCTTAGGCACACCCCTCACCCTGCCCTCCAGCCACTTTCATCACCCTGCCCCTCCTCCACAAACGCCCACCTTTTCCACTCCCCTGTCCACCAGCCACTCTCTTGACCTCGCTCTCTCCCTTCAAATGCCCACTTTTCTGCTCTACTCTCATTTCTGCCCCATAAATATTGATGTTGCTTCCCCAGAGCCGAAAAGGATTGGGCTTAAGTAATGTTTTTCTGAAGACAGGATAGGAGTGGAAGAACAGGTTCTGGTTTCACACTTGCCTCTACCACCCCCTTGTGACCAGTTCAGGCCCCACATTTCCTTGATGGAACCCTCACTTGCTTCAGTTTCTACTAAATATCCTATAATTTTCTTCCTCTTCCTTCCTCTTGGATTGTGCTGCTCCCAGCAGACAGACAAACGAACCAACAGATAAGGGTCGGTGAACATTTAGTGCTGAGTGGTAGGCCACAGTTCCTACCTTTTACTGATTCAGGGCTCTGTCAAATGATTCTCACCTCTCACTCCCAGATCCCAGCACCAGCCTTCCCCCCCCGGCCCCATGCACCATTTAGAGAACTAAAATGAGTTGGTGGGCATCCTGGGGGTGTAGGGAAAGCTGACTCTGTCCCTTCGGGTCTCTGCTCCCCAACCCCACCCTGACCCCAAGACTCCCCAGGCAATACTCAGTCTCACACCAACCTGCACACAACCAGAGCAGTCTCTTCCTTCTTCACTCAGCTACAAACACATCTCTCTAAGGTCAACAGAGGCTGATGGCTGGACCAAAAAGATCACCTCTCCACAAGTCTTGGTCCCCTGAGATACATGTTACCAGTGAGCCATGGTCCCCAAGTTCCCTTCCCACCAGCGGGATTAGCAGATATTTGGCCCTGTCCAAAACATCCATGGAGACATTTGATCCACACCAAAAGGTCCTTGGAATTTGGTTCCATCAAAAACGTCCATGAGCATATTTGGTCCATGCCAAATGGTCCTTGATACTTGGCCCTGTCAAAAACGTCCATGAGTAGAAAACATCCCTAGGTTCAAATAGCCCATAATGTTTATTTATATTTTTGGTTTATAGGATTAATACATAAAAAATATCATCTGTTTTATTGGTCCAATAATTGTATTATGGTTGTATTGCCAATAATAACCCTTCTTGCCTCGGTAGCCTAGGTGGTAATGGCCCATGGGGTTGGGTAGATGGGTCCTGGTTCGAATCTTGCAGGAGAGCAGGATTTATATTAACTATGTGTTAATATAACTGTAGGACCAAGGAAGAGTCCTACAGTTAGAGAAATGCACAGAGGACAACAAGTCGAAGATGGGATCTCGCAATGCATGGTGCGTTAACATGTCACTGGGCATTTGGTTGGATGTGGCTGGGTCGTTCAATAAGAGCAGAGTTTGAAAGGAGGAGCTTGGTCAGGCTGCTATGTAAAACGGGCAGCAAACACATTGACATAAACACTTTACAGAGCATCTGGCTCGTTCGGGAGGGGTGAGAATGGATGTGGCTCTCTTACTACATAGCAGTCTCATGTAACAGCCACCATAGGGGGATACGAGGCATCTAATTAGTCCATTAGTCCCCCTACAACTATCCCATTGCCCAGGGTTAGTGGGCAATGTTTCCCTTGAATAAATGTCCTATAGAGGTAAGATCAGGGTAGACTGCAAGAAGTATCTGCTGCTATTTGGAGAGGTTTTAGTGGGTGTGACTCCCACACTTACCTGCCAATCGGCAGTGGACCACCACACCCTCAGCTGGTGCCTACCTCCTGGCTGATCCAGCCTGGCTGAACCAGGTGTGGAATCCATAAGACACCAGTGAGGTTTTCCCCTACCAGTAAACCAGTGACCATTGGTCAGACAGCTACAAAACAAAAAAAATGAATAACCCTTCTTCTGTTGCTTGGCAATATGACATCTTTATTTGAAAATTCCCAGCAGAATATGGCAGAAATAGTATACTCACAAAAAGAAAATAAAATGCTACATTATAGTGGTTTTCGTTACTATTTCCATTCCTTTAACAGAGATAGGAGTAAATGGTACTGCTGCTGTGAAGAGAGGAGAATCTGCAATGCCCGATGCACAACTAGTCAGGATCTGGATAACATTACAATCGCTCAAGATGGGACAGAAAAACATCCGCACAATGTTGGTGTTGAAAGAGAAGTAAGGACAACCTAAATAGGTTAAAACGTCATGTAGAAGAAGAACCAAATGCAACACCATCACAGGTACATCGAAGAACTCTTTGTGATATTCATGATGAAGAGGTCCTATTAATGCTACCAGAAAGAAACTCATTAAAGAGGTAAGTAAATAGAATTCAAAACAGATATCAACCTCCAAACCCAACTTCGTTGCATGAAATTGAAATTCCAGAGGAGTATAAAATAACCAGATGTGGAGAACCATTTCTTATGCACAATTCCAGTGCTCAAGATGGTGAAAGAATTCTTACTTACACAACTTATGACAATATTTGATATTTAAGTGCCAGTACCACATTATTCAGTGATGGCACCTTCAAGACGGCACCAACACAGTTCAATCAGTAATTTACTGTGCATGGTACAGTATTGGGCTATACTATGCCATTGATTTATGCACTAACATTGAAAAGGCAAGAAGACCCTTAAAGATATCTATATGAGAAAGTACTTACATTTGCACGGGAAAGAAATTTTGACATTAACCCTTCATTGTGCATGATAAATTTTGAGATTGCAAATATGAATGAATTTCGACTACTCCTACCAAATACACAAGCAAAAGGATGCTTGTTTCACTTTTCACAATCACTGTGGTGAAAAATATCTTTGGGGGTCTAATATGTGAGTATATGATGATGAAAAATAACACCTGTAAGTGTGCACTCATGTTGTTTGGACTTCCATTTGTGCCTCTGGAAGATGTAAATAAAACTTTTGAGTACATTGTGGAGAATGCAGAAGAAAATTTAGATGATCTAATGGATTGTGTTGAGAGAATGGATGTTCGTGGAAGGCATGGCAGAGGCAGAAGACCAGAAGCTCCAAGACTTCCATCAAAAACTTGTAATGTTTATACATCAGTACTGAATGGTGATCACAGGATGAACAATGCAGTGTAAGGCTGGCATAGCAAATTTCAAAAGCTGATGGCAGTGCATCATCCTTCAATCTGGAGATTTACTGAAGAGTTAAAAGATGAACAGCAATGAACAAGTTATCACCCAGGTTTTCAGTGGTCACATTCAAATACAGCCACCAACTTCACAATGATACCGACAAAGTCAAATTTGTATAACTAAAACTGTTGACAGATATAACAAATATAAAGCCAATAATCAGGTCGATAGCAGGTCGGCCTGATGGCATAGTGGTTAAGTTCACACGCTCTGCTTCAGCAGCCCGGGGCTTGCAGGTTCGAATCTCAAGGGCTTGATGCACCGCTCATCAAGCCATGCTGTGGTGGCGTTCCACATACAAAATGAAGGAAGATGGGCACAGCTCAGTGACAATCTTCCTAGGCAAAAAGAGGAGGATTGGCAAGAGATGTTAGCTCAGGGCCAATCTTCCTCACAAAAGAAAAAAAAATCAGGTACATATATACTTGAGAGCAATTGTTCATCAACTTAAGAAAAACCCTGCCAAACTTCATGACCAGGAAGAACAAGGATAAATGTGAAATCCAAAATTCATAGTGAATTACAATAAAAATAACAAATAAAATTTTAATGAAGTTAAGTGTTTGTATTATTTAAAGAATCATGGACCAAATGTCTCAATGGACATTTTGGACAGGACCAAATCTCAAAGACCTTTTTGGCATGGACCAAATGTCTCTATGGATGTTTTAGACATCCATATCAAGGACTTTTTTGGTGTGGACCAAATATCTCCACAAATTTCAAAGGACCAAATTTCAAAGATCTTTTTGGCAGAAGTAATATATGAAGAAATGATGGTTAAGAATTTTCTGAACTTTCCAAAACATCAAGCCACATATTCAAGAAGCCCTTCAAATCTCAAGCAAGATAAAGTTTTAAAAATCACATCTATGCACATTATATAAAACTACTGAAAACCAAAGACAAGGAAAATATTTTAAAATCAGCCACAAAACAAAAACCTCAGACTACCTTCAAAGAAGCAACAATTACCTGATAGCTGACTTCTCAACAGGAAAAAATGAAAGCCAGAC